CTTGACCCGCCAAGACCCACCCTAAGACCCTATTCAGTGTACACCCCAAGGCCCGGGTCGGGTCGGGTCGGGTCGGGCCGAGCCGGGTGGGGTTTCACTTTTTTTTTTTTTGCATGGATAAATTGGAATTGTGAACCCGCTGCAAATACAGAACCGAATCATCAGATGATTGACCAGGTTAGGTTGACTCTGTTCTCTTGTTTTTTTCTTTTCATATGCATAAGACAGAAAAATGATAATAGAGACGATTTCCAACATTACGCCAGAATCTCTTTTCTTCCCACTCTCGTTGCATGAGTACCATCGCAGAACAAGTTCTGTAGTACAAAGTAACTTAAAAAGAAGAAGAAAGAAACTATAACAACATTAACGGACGGCAATGACTGGAATTTTTTCACTCCTATGCAAGACTGGCTTGCTTCCAATTACTAATACATCATCATGGGTCGACATTCCAAAGATAAAGCTAGTGCAAAAGGGTTGGACTTAGAATTGCTTTTCCCCGTCGACACAGTGTCGCCTGAAAGTGGATAGACACAGCACATTAGTATGACACAAGCTTGATCAATTCAAAGCATGAGAGACAATTCTCATTATGTAGAGAGAAATTGTCGAAAAATCACTTACCACTAATAAGAAGTCAAAGACACTGCTCATTAATCATAAGACAAAATGGGAGCACTAAATTTGAAAAGAACAATATCATGTAATGTTACTGAGAAATTTCATTCTAAATGGTAACATTATGTTCAGCAAATTTAACTTGCTATCACCAGGAATTGAAGGCACCACGTGAGAGTAACACATAATATAGAAAATTTCAAAAGCAGCATCGCAAATTTAATTTCTTTGACTGGAAGATAAGGCTGGGTTACTAACAATACCCAACACATTCTGGAATCCAAAATTTCCTCGAAAAGAAAAATAGAACGAACACGGCAAAGCAAATAGGAAGAGCATTGGAGGAAATCTAGTAATGTATTTAATTATATTACCACTTGTGCAAGTAGATGGACAAACAGAAACCCAAAGTTCAGTTCATCTTCAGACTATTAATTGTACCGTGAAATCAATAAACAAGAAAATTAGAAAACCCATCCAAAACAACAGTAATTGCCTTCTTTCGGGTGACCAGCAATCGTGGCAAAAGAAGAAAGTCAAGGTTTCACAAAGGATAAGGTCGAAGAATATGAAAAGAGGATCCACTTCTATATATTTAGTAGTGAGATCACACTTTTCTACTCTTTTCCAACCCCATGAATAACGGCTCAAGAATCTGCTTAGACAAGCATCATCACATGAAATAACTCAGGAAGTAGCACCCAAGGTACGATCATGCTTTTACAAATTGACGTACAGATACAAGCAAGCATCCTATTACATTCTGTCTTGTCCACGAAGGTTTTACAAATTGACATACAGATACAAGCAAGCATTCAACTATGCAACGAGGATGAAGGGTAAATAAATACAGCACTCGTCTCTTACCTAACTTTAGATAGAAAAAATCTCAAGGAGGAAGGCTTGATCGCAGACATAATAGAGTGTTTCTGTAATTTGTAATAGAGAACTGACACTCAATAAATCTCAGATGCTTAATATATCATTAGGATTCCATGTTTAGTGCCCATACTGGTCTCCGTTTTTGTTCTGGTGGGAAAGGGGCACAGATTTAGGACTGTTATTAATCTGGACCCATAGGTCTGTAGGTTTGAGATTTATTGAGTGTCTTTCGCAAGACTAACTTAAGCAAGCAAAAGACCCACTTAACAATAAATTATAGTGTGAGCAGACATCATCTCTTTCGACTTATGCCAACCAAATAAGCAGGATACAATTCCTAACTTCTTCAAGTTACATATTCACCAAAAGATGTGAGGCCTCACCTTCCAGAGTGCAGAATCATCCTCACAAAGCCAACCAGAGGCACCGTGTCCTCCAATATCTTATCCTCCTAATCAACCCACTCCTCCTCCTCCTCCTCCTCCTCCACTTCCTCTTCACCGTCTTCGCTTCCTCTGCCGCTCAAATCAGTCTTCTCCACTCCTCCAGATGCCTCGTCCTCCGTCGAATCCTCGACCAAATCCTTCGCCGGCAACACAATCGGCCTCCGCACGCTGTCCGAGCCCAGCGCCTCTCGGCTCCGGACTCTGCCGCCCTCGGATCCCATCCTCAGTGCACAGACGGTTCCATATACACGAGCAGCATCGGTGAATTAACTTTTTGCTGGAGAGCGAGTGGAGATCAATGGATAAGGAAAGGGACGGAAGAATTTATGGCCCGGGAAAAATCGGAACTCACCACCCCCAACGGGCATGTCGGAGGGTGGACGAGGAGGTCTTGGTTTCCTCGGATTCCCACAATACCGTGAAAAACCTCATTCAAGACGAAGCCAATTCCCACGGTTCCAAGAAACGAATGGCGAAATTAGCAAATTTCAAGAAATTTTTCATGGAGCAAGAAGCGCAGATGCAACGGCTTCACGGTGGAGAGAGATCACTCACTTGGTTGTTCGGCCGCTGAGGCTTGCAGAAGAAACTTGAAGCTGTCGCGAAACGACAAAGGGAAGCAAACGGCGATGGAGGCAATCGATTTCGGCGTCGATCGGCTAGCTTAGATCTAGAGTTTTTTCATCATGCTCTGCGCGCAGAGAGGGGAGAGAGAATGGGAGAGAGACTGAGAGAGGGAGATGGGTCGGCCCAGAGTGTCAATGGGTCGGCCCGATCTTACCCAACCTTAATAACACCCCAAATTTTAGGGCCATATTTGAAGAAGATTAAGGCCCAACCCCAAAATACCCCAAATTTTAGGGCCGAGTCGGGCCGACGCGGTCCGGACCGGGCCAGCCCGGATTTTGTTGACACCCCTAATCTGTACCAATTCATTAGTCCGCATTCCGACTCTCCCATCATTACTTTAATAGCTACTCCTTCCCCACATCTTCAATCACTTGCTCGATGGAAGTACGTCAATTTCTTTATATTTCATGCGTAAGGAAGGACTGACGTACACGTCAGATGGAATCTTGAGTAATATATATTGAGTATACCAATTTTTTACATTTTATTTCTTTTTTATATTGCTCTAAGTTTTCACGAGAACAGTTGCTCAAACTTACAAGGAAGTATCATTTTCACTGTCTTTATCTTGTTATTTGAGAATTCAATCATGGTAGTAAGTAAACAACGCCGGGATCAAGACGAAAGAAAAGTATGTGATCGATGAACTTCGAATTGGGGGAAGCGCCCTCTAGCCCTAGGTTGAAGATCAAACCGGAGTTCATTGCCCCTAGGGGCCTTGGCGGCATGTCCTGCAACCAGGCGAGCTCCACCCATGCGTTCTTTATTTTAAGGTGCCGGTATTCGTACATGCCTAATCCCCCCTATTGGGTCAGAATATATTTCTTTCCCTGACCCCGACAATACCCAAACTTATTTTTACACCTCGTGGCCTAGGCGTCCAATATTAGGAACATGCTAAGGTCCAAGTAATATGTTGAGTATACCAATTTTTTAATTTATTTCTTTTTTTTTATATAGCTCTGAGTTTTTAGAAGATCGGTTGTTCATACTTATAAGGAAGTATCATTTTCACTGTCTTTATCTTTGTATTGAAAATTCAATCATGGGAGTGCACCTAGTCGTATTGGGCAACGTTGGGATCAAGACGAAAGAAAAGTATGCGACGATGACAAACAGGCCAGCCCCGATGTTGGTCCGTTTGTTTCGTAAAAAAAAAAATGAATGATTTGCAGGATGTTTTTCCGAAGGTGAACGCTCATACCGCTTGGAATTATTAGTCAACGTAAAATCCTTTCATTGTTGGCAATAATTTATGTCTAAATACTTTTGTGGACGATTGAAAATATTTCTCGTTCAATCATTTTTGTAAGCGATACAATCGATTATTTTTCAGAAAATTTGTTCTGAATTATTTATTTTTCGTGAAATAAATGGGATCATTATTTTTTTAATTAAGTATAGTCGTACTTTGACGGTGTGAAAAAAAGAAATTTACAGAAGCGTCTTTCTATATCATTAATTTGAGAGAGCCGTAATTCAAATAGAGGACGAATAAGGTTTGCTTGCCCAAGATTTCGTTTACGCCAATAGTGTATGGTCTATTCTTCATAATTTTTTTCCTCGATTTTCTTTTTACCATTAATAAATAGTGAGAAACGACACCCAACTTCCCTCCTAAGCAGTATTTCGTGTGACAGGTCACACCATGTGACGGAGTCCATACGATCACACGTAACCTTCGTATAGAATACCTTTCCCACACCATCGAGCCTCGCGCACGTACCGAAAAACATAACTCGAAGTCATGAATACTCAGCATCACCCTAGACCACATAAAGGTCCGACATCGGCCGGCACGTCGCTGCATCCTCATCGACATGTCGACGGTCCCGTAATTCACCTCGAGAAGTGCCGTCGACATGAGTGATCTCGGAGTCCCGGGTGGCGAGAACAGGTTTTGTCGGGTCACTCCCCGTCGCGATCGGACAGAAGAAAAACCAAATCGTTGTCGCCCGCTCGACTCGACCAATGCCCCGATTTACCAATTGGCGAATTGACCATGCTGACACGTCGTCATTTCTTAAGGGTCCCATATAGTCGATTTGATTAATTGGATTAAAATTTTAATTAAAAAAAACCCGGGAACAATTCTTTTCAAAGCCTGTCACTCCGATCCGAAACCGAAGTCGGTTGGGTCTCGGTCCGCAGCGGGGTGGGGGCCCTGCGGGTGGCAATCGCCTGTTCCCGCTAACCTCCAGAACCGTCTCCACGTGTCGGCAAGACCGGCCAATCAGTACCTCTCCCCCAGAATCCCCCCGAGACGAGCTGTCGGCTGGCTATTGGCCGGAAGCTTCGTACCGCGGTGTTCCCGACCGCAGGTGATCACAGCCGCGTGCTGCGAAGGAACAGGGAAGATCTGAGCTGTCAGAAAAGGGAAGACGACGCTGGCGAAAGAAGAAACGACGGACTACTTCTCCTTCTCCTTCCTTGTCGCGCATACCTTACGCCATCCGAAGGATTCCGATTCCCCAGAAGCAAATCGTCGGCACGATGTCGGGCACCGAGGACGGGGAGGCGCCGCCGCCGCCGCAGCCGGAGAAGAAGCACGTCCAGTCGCCGCCGCCGTCCGCCCCGCCGGCCCCGGACGTCGAGAGCCGGGGGGCGGCTGCGGCGGCTCCGGCGGCGGCGGGCGGGGGGTCGGGGATGGGGGTCTCGGCGATCGTGAGGCGGTGGAGGAGGGACGATCTGATCCGGAAGGGGTCGCTGGTCCTCCGGGGCCTGGCCTTGCTGTTCTCGCTGCTCGCGTTCATCATCATGGCGAGCAACAAGCACGGCGGGTGGAAGGACTTCGACAACTACGAGGAATTCAGGTTCGGACTTCGACGTCTCTGTCTCTGTCGATTGATTTTGGGATGTGGACGCCTTGGTGTTTCGTCGATTTCCGGTTTTTGATTAGATTGGAGAGAAAGCGGGACTAGTCCAAAATCCTAGAAAGTGCGAATGAGTTCCTAAACTTTGGCGATCAATCGTTTCGGGTGTATTGTCATCACTTCAAGAAATTTTTAGCATTCGAATGATCGATTGAAAAGATTTAGGGCTGTAGTCCGTACAGAAATTTTTAGGATTGGACTGCACCTTTTTTTCGCCGGATTCGGAAATTTTGGGATTGAACTGGGAGATTCCCGTGCAGGTATCTATTGGCGATATCGATCCTGGCGACGCTTTATACGGGAGTGCAGGCGTTGCGGCACGTCCACCGGATTTCTACCGGGCAGCTGCTGGTTCAGCGCCAGACGTCGGCCCTGATCGACTTCGCCGGCGATCAGGTGGGTAATCTGTCTCTGTTGTGCTTTCGTTTCGTGTTCTAGGCATTTGCTTGCTCTGTTGTCTGGAACGTGGCAAAGGACAAACGACCCTTTCTTTCATCCATGTCATTTTCCTAAACAGTGTCCTATGAAAAGCCGTTGCTTTGCTTGGAATGACAGATTCCTGAAATGTTTGAATCAATAGAGAGTGAAGAGAAACGTAACATTTTTGCCATTTAAGTGCCCGAAAGCTTACCAAAATTAGAAGAAAGATTTGGGTAATGAAGTTTTGGATATGGAGAGAAGGATTACTCTGAAATTCATCGATAACTCATCCTTATGCTGTTGACTCTTCGTGTGCCTTTTTGGGGCCAACTTCCTATCCTTTTCCACCAAGGTGACAAAGTCCCCTTTCTTTTCTTAGAAAAGTTTTCAATTCAACCCGAGTTACATCATTGCCAGTACTCGAGAACAGGGGACCCAATTCCATCTGTAAAAAGCAAGACCCATTCTTGCTGGACAGCTAGACAAAGAACAGAACACGCAGAGGTTCCAAGTTCTCTCTTAATCATTGGGGATCCCAATCATTTTGCTGGCAGAAAACATACTCTTTGTATGGTCCTAATTTAGAAATGAAATCTAGATTTATTGTTCTGGGTTATGGCAATCACTTGCCAGAGGAGCTGGGATGGAGTTGACGGAAAAGGATCCAGAGCCCATATGTTCCCAGTAGAGCATTTCAATCTTAAACCATGATCTCGTCTGATAGCTTGGCCTTCAACATAGCAGCAATCTGACAATTTCTCCATGATACTGGAATGATCATGCTTTTGTTTCTTTTTGATCATTTGCCTCCTTGTATACAGTTCGATTATTGCGCTTTAGCCTCGACAACGGTCTCACAATTTCACATGCCCACATGTTCACCTCCCTATGGAGACTGGCTATGTCATTTCACAAGTGAAATGAATCTATGCGATAATATTGTTTTGATGTATTGACTTGGATTTTAATTTTCTTGGGTTGCATTAGGTTGTGGCATACCTCCTGATATCAGCAGCATCTACGGCAGTGCCCATGACCAACAGGATGAGAGACAATGTGGATAATCTGTTTACAGACTGCTTAGCAGCTTCGATAAGCATGGCCTTCTTTGCCTTCCTCACGTTGGCTTTCTCCGCACTTATTGCCGGATACAAACTCTCGACCCAATCCTACATTTAGTTTACATGTCCATCGTTTGCAGTGTTGTTATACCTTCATTCTTTGTATGCATGGGGTTTGATTATATCTTGTAAATTGATGATTTCATAAAGAAAGTGCTGTATTTCGGCTTGCCTCTTTATTCTAGTTTTGGGTGTTTCTCTAGGTAAAAATGTACGATGAAGAAAGGATAAAAGTTGGTCACTCTCTCTCTCTCTCTCCAATTCTCTGGTTATGATGTAGAGACGCATATGATGATGAATATCTATCTGTTCCAGATTCTATTTGACTTCTCATGAACCAAATCATCCACGGACGAGAAGTAGGACCATGTAATGTCTCCATTAGCGTTCATTAACAGTTAAAAGATAATAAATTGCACCTTTTGTTGTTAGTTGTTATCTTAAACATGTGAAACTGTCTCTTTGCAGAAGAAAATAAGACAAGTTAAATGACCACGAGGATTTTGCAAATGTAGAAGCAGCAATTCATGTACGAGAGTTGAAATTGCTATATTTATGTGACTGCAGAGGATTGTCACCCGTGATCCAGTTCTATAGGTTCTTGCAGATTATCCTAAAACAGTACAAAATACATAAGAAATTGCTCACACGCGCTTCAACTCCGACAATCATCCGAAGGTCGTCTCATCAACCACCTGCCCAGCGGAATGATCTTTTCAAAATGAATGAGATGCTTACGGACGCGATAAACATGTGAAGTATACAGAATCGCCGACATTGTAACCGCCAGAAAAGATAACAGCATCAACTTCCAGAAGTCCTGATGCAACAATAACAACAATTTGAGAAGTTGGATTCTGAAGCAAAAGATACCCAAAAAGGGAGTAGTTCACAAACGGTATATCATCCATTTAATTGCAGCAGCACTAGGAATCACCTGTGGGTTCGAGATGAATATTCCCATAACATAAGCCATCATATCCAGAATGGACTGGAGTGAGTTCTGAACGCCTCCAATGACGCACCGGTCGGATTCTGGTACCTCATCCTGCCAAAGCCAACTAAAGAAATGAGAAAAGAGAAAAAAAAGAAGTCTTTGGTCCAAGCAACGAACAACTGCTCCATCTGTCTATGTTCCGGAAATAACAGATCTACAATCATGCTTGTGAGATGTTCCAAAGAATCAACCACTTGTACTGTCCTTTAGGGGACTAGAATTTTTTCAATAATCACAGTAAATAACCTGCATCTGTTGAATAACAGCTAAATCGAACATCCACAGTCCCAGTCGAGATGTCGCCACTCCTGCCATCAGCATGTAGGCAGCTACCAAGCCGTTTTGAATCCAAATTGAGCCAACACATAGAAGCAGGAAGATCCACTGCAATAGATTTTAACAATATATCCATGTCACACTTTTAAAATTTATGGACGAAAAATCCCTCCAAAGTTGGAACTCAGAGAACCATACTTGGGACCAAACAGACCAGAGCCCTGTTCTTAGTGTAGAAATGCGGGATTGTAAGAATGGATAAACCACAGTGGCTGCAATGCCAATTGTTGCACTTATGCCGCGTGCTATTCCGATGACAAATGCAGGTATACCTTCCCACTCCAATGTAGCGGTCATCAAACTTCCAAAGCTGTAGAATTTGAAGCCAAAACAATAAAATTCTTCAACTTGTAAATGCAATCGAATTAGAGCAACAAGACCCTAAGATAACTTTCGCACTGACTTGATGATTGAGAAGCATTGACAAATGCCTTTTCATAGATAGTACGAAAAAATGGCGATAACATTGAGACAGCCTCAAATTTGATGCAAGCACAAATCTATCATACACATACTCCACAAAAGACAAATTTTCTAGACGAAATAGTCTAACTGGGGTGAAATTCCTGTTATCCGCTCTACCTATAACTCAGCCGAAGAAAAATGAACATTTGTAGGCAGATCGGTCTTTTCACTGGAAGGGAAAATGCAAGGTCCATGACTAGTTCTAGTTGCAGAGTGAACTAATTTCTAGTACATCACCTGAGGACTGTAAAATACAACAAAGCTAGTGATACTCCAGGAAGCACTACTTCTTGCTCTAAATACACTTTCCAAGCACCAACGAAGGGAATCTTTGAAATTTTCTCCCTGAAATTCTGCTTTTGGCTGCTCTCTGCTGATCCTGGATCATCATTTTGAATCAGTGACCTCTCTAACAGATCAACCGGAGAAGGTCTCGAGGTTCTTCTCAGGTTTCTCTCAACAAGAGCCGGAATCCCGCTATATACAGACATGAAAAACCAGTACTCCAGCCAAACACATGTTGTGTTCAAGACGGCTAAAGTCATAGCAGATACTCTTAGCGAAACAAAGCTGATTATGAAGCCGGAAACAACCGGAGCAAATAATTTGCAGATCAGATCGATCCTTCTGATGACCGAGTTCATCTGGGTCAGAAGCCCCAGAGGTTGGCCTTCTGACATCACCACCACCCTGCAATTAGAGGCATAGTTATGAGGCAAAATAAATTAAAACAAAAGTTTGTGGCAAAACGATACCAGAAAACTGTTCTCAACTCAATTCGCCAAAAGACTAAAGGCATACTATTAATTAGCCAATACATGGAAGAGACTCTAACTGTAGATCTAATCTCTGTATTACCATTCTCTTTCAATCAAAATTGTTCCAGCCAGAGTAGAAAGCATGCCCATAGCTCCCGAAACATTGGTCATGATGACGAGCACAATGAACAATCCAGAATTTGTGGATTTCAGATCTGGATAGGCCAGCATACCAAAGACTGTGGCTCCGGCCACCACGAACGAGAAGTTTTGTGTCATGAGCCAGAGTTGTAGAACCTGCAACAAGTATGTGACTTTACAAAAACAATTCGAACTCATCCTAGTATTCCGAGCAATTATTTTCTCTCTGAAAAATGCTTGTTTAGTTCCAAATTTTTGGTTGCGGCATTTGGACGTAAAGTGCCATCCAATTTCTTTTGTTCTGGTCCTGAATTGAGAACTTTGAGAATTGAAGTATATCGAACCTTGACATAACTCAACTTATCTACCCACTCTCCAATGGTTGGACCAAGCAAGGCAATGGAGCCAGATTCTACCACTCCATAGACAGCAGCTAATAGCAAAGAGTCTGGCCAAATACTGATCATATACAAACCTACCGAGAATTCCCACATCCTGCAAGACAAGAAGACATTAAATTACTTCATTTCCTCATATGGACGGATAACACATCCAATTGCCTCTTTTCTGTTTCATTCAAGTCAGATTGAAATGAATTGTGACCTTGCCAAGGTTTGATTTTTCTAAAGAATTGCACATACCAAAATTTCTGGAACTACTGAATCGGTTGGGTCAAGATTTTATTTCACCAAGAACCATGTGAAGGATATGTATGCATGCATAAACAAAAGAAGAAAAGGGCTGTTTGATTACTAATTCTGCTACACGATCCTGCTATATGCATCTTGCACACTATTGAAAGGCACAACTTTTTCTTTTGCTTTTTATTTTTTCCATTTTCGTTTTTACCTGATAAATTTAGGCTAGTAAATCCATACCATACAGCAGCTACTAGAACAACTGCCTTTTTTCGCTAGATAGAACTTGTAAACATCAGTTTGCGACTGTTTTTCAATTTTTGGCCATGGAAGGGAAACAAATTACTTTTTTTTGGCTGAGATAATTGAATTAAGTAGTTGAAACTCTCTTCTAAATTCAAAAACTATGATGTTGAAGTGATAATAGCAAATCAGCCTTTCTAAACAATGAGAGGAAAATGGAAGAACAAAAAGGAAAAGCTTGTGAAAGTTCCAAACATCTCAAACTTGAATTGTATGAAGAGTACTGTGCTAAATTGTGCCCCATGAGGAACATGTTCTCTTTCACATTATTAGCAAGTCGTATTTATTATGGAGGAATCCGAATTATTGCCAAAGTTGAAGCGAAATGAGAAGCGTAACCTGGCACCCCATCTGGCCAAGAAGTGGCCCGAGTACAAATATTTGGCGAGGAACGACGGAAAAGATGGCTGTTGAGGACCTGATTCGCGGTCAAGGAGCGGCTCCCTCACCATTTTATGTGGCTGTACTGACTTCCTGAATCATAGCAAGTCGCTCCTCCTCCTCTTCTTCTTCCAATGAATTGTCGATTGGATGGACGATTGGGATGTGGATCTTTACTTTATATCCTGACCACTCACTGCATGCAAATGGTGATAGGCCTTAAGTTGTACTGTACTGTTGTGATGAGTGCCCTGTTTATTGGTGTGAATGATGAAAGTGAAAGCAAACAGAAAGAAGGAAAGCAGAAGGGGGAAGGTCTGAGGAAGTCGGTGATTCCCGGGTCCGCAGCTGGGGAAGAAGCCGAAGGTGCCAAGAGAGCACCAAAGGGCCAGGGAGATCCACCATTATCCGGGGCATGGTCTTGTTAGCTCTATTACGAAACTTTTTTTTTTTCCATTGGGAACCTAAAAACGGGAGTGGACCGCATTGGGCAGAAGACGATCCACAAAGCGAAGGCTTACCCAGCTGAAGGAAGGAGCTTTGGAAGCTGACCTCCAATATCCGTCTTAGAAGACCGAGTGTCGGTTTCACCAAAAAACAAGGGTAAATCCCGAAAACTGAGAAGAAATCGGATCAAGAAATCAGAGCCGTAGGGGTTTGGTGTATGTTGCTACTAAGATATTGTCTACAAGCTGTCTGACTGTTGATCTTTGTTTTTTTTCGCATGTGAACAAAAGAAGGAAAAAAACAACAACCTCAAAAACAATGTTCAAATCCTTGGATTCGGTAGGATCCGAAAATGGCGGGACCTTTGACCAGAGAGCAAGTACATGGCTTCAAATAAAAAATGTAAAAACGTAAAACTATATTGTAATTTTTATGAATGTTTTGTACATCTTTATCTCTCTTTTCAACTTCTATTTATAAGAAGTTAAGGATATAAACAAATCAACAATAAATCAGAAAGAAATCAAGGAGTGATTGCAAGAGATTCGCTGAATATCGGGAGCGATTGCTGAATATCGGGAATGGTTGTTAGAGATCTTCTGAATATCAGATTCCAGATTTGATATCCTTTGACAAAAAAAAAAAAGAGGAGCTATGGGCAATGGTCAAACCTTTGGATTACAAAATGCCAAATGCCTGAAGTTTGAAGAGATTACACAGAGTGTTCCACTGGAAGATGATCCAAATGGGTTTTGTATTTTTTGTCAGAAGGTTAGTAGATCCAAGAACAGCGAAACAGATGTTTGTGTCTCATCCGTAACACCAGCAGCCACAAGGATCCAATGTCGGAATTAGCAAGCATATGGTTTTTCCTTTCTCCATTTTGTTTGTCAGATTCCTTTCGTTGTCCCGAAGCACATTCACTTTGTGGGTATCTTTTAATTTGGACTTCTTGAGCCTGCCATGCCCAGATAGTTAACCTGGTAAGACACCCCATTGTTGTAAGGAAAGGAGCCCAGCTTGAGAGGACAGAATTGCTGGGGAATACTGGAGAAGAAGTTGCAATATCAATTCGCTGATTGTTGATACAGATCAAGTAAGAGTTGCTCATTTCTAAGAATAGGCCATTAGATGACGTTGACCGAATAATAAAATAAAAAACAGAACGAGGAACAGTGGATTGAAATGGTTCGATTGGAGTGACCTATTACATAGAGAGAGCAGCATAGAATAGAATTCCAATATAGATAAAAGTGATGCAATATAGATTACAACCACACTCGAGTTATTTTAACTTTCAATAACTCACACTTGTCTCTTGAATGCAATCCACGAAGAAGACCCACTTCTTACAATTGAGAAAAAACCTCTTATTTATAGAGAGGCTAAGACACCAAACTAGAAAACATCAAACTAGAATCCTTACACTAGGAAATATTAAACTTGGAAACATAAACTTAGGAAATCTTAACTAGGAAATTTCAAACTAGGAAAAATCAAATTATAAAACATTAAACTGGGGAACTAACTTTAATAGGAAACCTTTGACTCCAAAAGGAAACCAAATTTTAAACTAGGAAACCTTTAACTCAAAAACTTGGGATGCAAAATAGAAAATCTCAGCACAAAGCCTATTTGGATCAGATTTCTTTACAACTTTAAACTCGAGATATATTTTTGACAAATGATTACCAAAAATAAAAGGAAAAAAGAAAGAAAGAAAATGAGCTATCAGATGATGAGTTTTAGACATTCATCTCCTAGTTTCTCGTGTACAAATTCGACTGGAGCAAGAAATCATTTGGATGAGACCCTTTTTAATCACGGTTAGATCACTTTCATATACAAAAAGTTGTAGCACGAAGAACATGGAGACGTCTGGAGATGATAATACGTCCGGTATAATCATCATTTCGATCGCGAAAAGAAAAGGAAATGCTACAAAGTCGGATGTCATTTATCAGAACCTGAAAGAAACAGGCACATACATATCATTGTAGCTCGATCATGACGCAGCCAATCGACCTTTCTTGGGAAGTAGCTGTTTTATCATCTCAATCAACCTGAGCCGATTGGCACCCGGATCGTTGTCGTGGACGAATCTTTCCTCGGGGCGAACTCTGTGGGGAAAACATTTAAGATAACTGTTAACTAGCATCTGATAAAGCCGCCATCATAAACTAACTGTAGATGAATATCAAATCAGAGCAAGTAAAACATACATATCATGACAAAGACATCCATGGATTCTTTGCACGTAATTAGGGGAGAAGAATACTACAAGTGCCAAAAGTTATGTACGGCGTTTACTTTGTTGCCAAAAGTTCCTTTTGGATCACTTAAGTGCTACATTTTTTGAAAAACGATCACTTAAGTGCCAACTCCGGTCTGATTGGCCGGAAATCCGATGTGGCCTTTTTTTATTAATTTTTTATGCCGACGTGGGTCGCCGGAGGTCCAGTCAGCATATCAACAATAAAACGACGTCGTTTGGCAGATTTCCCCCAAAGAAGAACCCGAACCCCAATTTGAAAACCCTAACTGGCCAATTTGAGCATCTATTTTAGTTCGCCCCCAAAATTACTAGCTCATTCTTGCAAATGGAGAGCATGAGCTTCTACAACAGCTCACATTCGTCCCAATAAAGCGTACTACACGATGAGTGTTACTATTATTGTGGGTAACCGAGTCCAATAAGAACATCTTGGACTCGGTTGAATCCCGAGAAAAGATTCCATGGATGCGTCAGGTATAGAGAGGCTCGAAGTGCAAATATTTCGAATGGGTCGATACATTCTCTGGTCGAGCGAAGGAGGTGATCTTGGAGCTACTTGAAGGATAACATCAACCTTCACTTACATTAATGGACGTGTTGGAGGATGTTGACTCAATGCAAGCTCAAATGAAGGCTTTAACATGTCTGGCCAACCATTTGGAGAAGGAAGTTTCAAGGCTAAAAATTGAAAAAAAACTTTTATCGAGCATTGATAGTATTATTGTTCTCTTGTGTAGCCTATTTTACAATCAAATGTCAAGTGAGTAATGAGAAGAAGTTTGTAAGTCTACCATAGTTGAAGATTAGTGGAATATGTACTTGTATTGGGTTATTTGTAAGCATAATTGTGTTGTTAATTTGCTGCAATTGTTGTATGGAACAAAAGGTTTGCTGCAATATATGGTGGAAATTGAAGGTCGGAATTTATTGGTTGTGAGCACTTAAAAGTTTTCTTGCTTAGTTGTGTATTGTCAATGTTAATTTGCTTAGTTTTTGCTTTAGATATTTGGTTTGCTCCACATGTAATGGTTTGCTACATGTTTTGCTTGGTAATGGTTTGCTGGTTTGCTGCAACTATTGCTGCAAAACCATGGCCAAATTCACGAGTGGTAACAAATTCACGAGTGACTATTTTAGTGCCATAAGTTGTAAATAATGATCGTTTGAGTGCCAAGTTTTTCCGAAAGTGATAACTTAAGTACTAATCGTGGTTGAAAATGATCATTTAAATGTTAGTCGTGGTTTAAAAGGTGCTGGTACACAAGATGCACCAATAAAGTTGCTGGTGCATACCCAAAACTACACCAACCCAGTTAGCGCATCTTGTACTTGTACCAGCACATAAAACTGCTGGTGCAAACACTGACCAGCACCCACAAACACACTAGTACCCATAATTTCCACTAGTAACAAAACATGAGCCCATCACTTCCAAAAACAACATCAGCCTTGTCACAACCTTGCACTAACATACAACATAATAATTATTCGCATCACCAGCCAAAACCACCAGCGCCACTCTTGGCCACTAGCACTATTCTCAGCCACCAGCACCACCAAACTGCCGGTGCAATCTTATGCTTTCTGGTGCAAGCACAATACTCTACACTAGCATGTTCTGATGCATCTTGTGCTTGCACCGGCACATAAAATCAAGCACAACCTGTACAACCCAGTTAGACACACCAGCACAACTAGCACAACTAGGAACATCAACACAACCAAAAGCAAAATATGGAAATGGCAAAAACATAGACAAAATAAATATCGATCCATTGACATTGAACATAGTCTTTATATTTGGTCAATCTGAATAATTGACTAAAACATATGAACCTCCCAATAAAAAACAAAAACTACCATATGTACAACCTCCCAACAAAACACAAAAACTACCATATCTAGCATAACCTCCCAACAAAAAAATAAAAATTACTATATCCAGAACCCTCTCCCATCAACAGTCAATATGCACAACCCCCCAGTCTCTATCCCTTTAGATGGACCTTTGGCTTGAATCCTTGCACTCTTTCTAACTGAAACTAGATTTGGAGGTTGTTGTACGGACTTGAAGATTGTTGCACTAGACTTGGAGGTTGTTGTACTGAAACTACAATTGGCATTTTCCTTTTAGCCTATGCTCTTGTCTTTGGACCTGCTTGTGCTGTTGTCTTTGGACTTGCCTGTGCTCTTGTTGTTGGCCCTGCCGGTGTTCTTGTCTTTGGACATGCCGCTTGTGTCATTTGTTTCGGAGCACTTTTCTTACTGGATTATGTTTTAGTTAACCTTGGTTAGGTTCTTCTTTTAGGTGCAGCCCTTGACTCTTGACTTAGGCCACTTGGAGAGATAAACACTCCGAAGTTCTTCCAGGCTACAAATACATACCATATTGTCAACAACTGTTGTTGTTTAGTGGAAAAGAAAGCACATACATTGTTTAATGGAAACAAAGCAACATCGAATTGTTTAAACAAATTGAGGTCCCCACCCACAATCGCAACATCACTATTGATACCGTGATTAAACAAATTGAAGATCCCACGGTTGCGAGTTGATACCGTGATCAAACAATTCGATGTGATTAAACAACATCACTATGATTAAACAAATTAAGGTCCTCACGACTGCAAGTACCATTGTCCCCACGAAAGAAAATGATACCATGATTAAAAAAATTGAGGTCTTCACCCACAATCACAACCTTACTTTTTCCCGAGCCCTGAATTTGCTCTCCAAGCCCTAATTTTTCCCTTTGAACCCTAATTTTGCCATCGGATCCCTAATTTTCGCCTCATAGCCCTAACTTTTCCAGCAACTGAGCTAGGGAGAGAAGATCACAAACCTAGGTTGCAGAGATGTGATGGTGAGTGACGATGGCAACCGAGCAAGCGATGATGATAGCGAAGCAAGCGACGACGACGATGAGCGACGACGAGCGATGTTGATGCCGAGAGG